GTTTGATATTGTGTCTTCCTACTGAGAACTTAGTCCTTTGAGGCCAGTGCTTCCTCTGGTAATGTGCTGCTCTGTCAGGGAAACTTGGTAAAACCTCTTTGGAGTCCCATCAAAAATGCCACCATTTTGAAGTCTCCATTAACCTCGTAGCCATACTTATCATAGTTCAAAGCTTCCAGTAGAAGTTTGACACTGTTGTAGTCCTCCTTAAGATGCACCGAATGAGCTAAGGGAAGAGATGGATACTTGTTCCCACGTGCAGAAGTACAGCATTTAGGCTTCTTGTTCCCACGTGCAGAAGTAAAACATTTAGGCTTCTTGTTCCCACGTGCAGAAGTAAAACATTTTAGGCTTCTTGTTCCCACGTGCAGAAGTAAAACATTTTAGGCTTCTGGAGGAGCTATCAATGAAGAGTCTCCACTCATCTGAATTGCATGCAATTCTAATTGCATCAAACAGTCCTGACACATCATAACAGTAGCACAACCTGTCTTCATTAGTGAAGAAAATTGACAAATGTTTGTGATGTTTTCTTTGGCTTGTCACTTTCTCACTTTCATCCACCAAGTCCCACTCCTAATTGAGCCTTGAAATCAAAAGCTCAGCATTTGACTTACAAATTTTTCCCCTTCTTTTTATTGAATCTTTAAATGTAATACACATTCCTCCCTACATTACTAAAATTCTAATTAAATCCTCTCCATACCCATCTCCTTGTATCCACATAAATTAATTGTCAAACCAAGATCTCTGATAAGGTCATTGAGGTCTGTTTGGTTTGGGTAGTAAAGATTCCTCGCAACAGCTGCATCTGTGAGATCATAATCTTGTTCACTGTCCTCTTCATTTTCTGATTTGCTTCTTTCCCCTTCTGACAGTGGACTTCTTTCTGGAGGTGTAGGTACAGGAAGATCAGCACTATGTGGTACTGGTGCAGTAGAAGAGGGAAGGTCTGGATAAGAAAGAGCAGGTGTATTTTTCCCAGTTTGGCATTTGGAAGGATCCACCAGGCAAAAGTAGCAGTTGGTTGAGTGATCAGTGGGTTCATGCCATATTGCAGGAACACCAAACTTCATGGCTCTATTTTCTCCTCTATACCATCCTGTAAAAGAACAAAAGAATTAGTTTCTGTTACGTACATATCATTTAAAAAATGTTCGTATTCAAGATTTTACCCTTCATATAACTAATGACTTTCTTACCTTCCAATGTTTTCTTACAATGTTCACCAGCAACATGAGGCGCCCAGGTCTTGTCTTGGTCCCCAACTGTCATACAAAAATATTCTTTGTAAGCTTCACATATTTTTTTAGATGCTGTTGCACAGAACTTCTTTGCACTTGTCTTAACGAATTGACCATATATGTAGCAGAATGTGACTTAAGAAATCGTAATGACACGATTGCAAATAAACCATACCCCCGGCCGGGATTGAACCCGCTGTCATAGAGTCTCAAAACTCCAGCCCGTCGCGTTAGCCACTAGACCAGCTAGCCACAATAAGATTCATCCAACTAGGTATATTTCTACACCATAGGAAGGTTAGCATAGGCCACCACTGTGACCACAAATGCAAGTTTTTACAGACGAATCTCCAGCTAGCGTGGCTGTGACGAACTCTAGCTCAAGTCCCTTCACTGCCGTCAACATGACTTAAGAAATCGTAATGACACGATTGCAAATATCCCGGCTGGGGGTATGGTTTGTAGCAGAATGTATCTGGAGAATGACTGCAGCCTCTTGATGCCATTTCACTTCTGATGTGTCTTCTCAGGTAGCCAGAGCTGAACTGATTGCTGGTTTGTGAGCCGCTGTTTTCATATTTGCCAAGCAAAACCCTAGAACATAATAGTTTTACATCAGTCTTGCTTGGAAGTGTTCCAGAAGTGTCCTGACCACAAAAGCAAAGTTCTGGGATCAAAATTGCTTTTTTTAAATTTTGTTTAGTTATAAAGAACTGGGAAATGATGCTTATTTCTCAGGAACACGACAAAAGTGAAATTTTGTTACGTAGTGTAATCTCGACAATCCTACCACTGATACTTGGAACACCAAGCTCCTTCCTCATATTAAGAATGTTGGTAGATTTAGGACAGCCAAGAATAATTCTGAGGGCTTCATTCTGCATTAACTCCAATGGCCAGATAGAATTTTCCTTAGCTAATATTAACTTGGATGCAGCATAATCAATTATGGATGAACAACTACTTCTAGCAGTTTAGCAGATGCACAAATGATAATCAAACCAAATGTAAAGTATATGGCCAGTCTTATGGTCACTATCTTGAACACTATGTGCTTAATTATCCAGTTATTGAGGAATATATATATATAGTATAATAACCTATGTGATATGTCAACATACAGTGGACCCCCGCATAACGATCACTTCCGAATGCAACCAATTATGTAAATGTATTTATGTAAGTGCGTTTGTACGTGTATGTTTGGGGGTCTGAAATGGACTAATCTACTTCACAATATTCCTTATGGGAACAAATTCAGTCAGTACTGGCACCTGAACATACTTCTGGAGTGAAAAAATATCGTTAACCGGGGGTCCACTGTATTAGTGAAAATAAGATACCAGATATATCAAAAAATTTCTTCGATTTTCTTGTAGCAGATAAGTCAACTATAAATCTAAATTAAAATATACACCTGTTAACCTTTTTGGGGCCTAGTTCCTTGGTCTTTTGTGCATCCATATGCTCTTGTGCTACCATCCACAGGATGGATATGAGGTACACAATAAACTAGCCACTACCATCTGCAGGATGGATATGAGGTACACAATAAACTAGCCACTACCATCCACAGGATGGATATGAGGTACACAATAAACTAGCCACTACCATCCACAGGATGGATATGAAGTACACAGTAAACTAGCACCTACCATCCACAGGATGGATATGAGGTGCACAATAAACTAGCCACTACCATCCACAGGATGGATATGAGGTACACAATAAACTAGCCACTACCATCCACAGGATGGATATGAGGTACACAATAAACTAGCCACTACCATCCACAGGATGGATATGAGGTGCACAATAAACTAGCCACTACCATCCACAGGATGGATATGAGGTACACAATAAACTAGCCACTACCATCCACAGGATGGATATGAAGTACACAGTAAACTAGCACCTACCATCCACAGGATGGATATGAGGTGCACAATAAACTAGCCACTACCATCCACAGGATGGATATGAGGTACACAATAAACTAGCCACTACCATCCACAGGATGGATATGAGGTGCACAATAAACTAGCCACTACCATCCACAGGATGGATATGAGGTACACAAACTAGCCACTACCATCCACAGGATGGATATTTATTATTATTAACACATCGGCTGATTCCCACCAAGGTACGGTGGCCCGAAAAAGAAAAACTTTCACCATCATTCACTCCATCACTGTCTTGCCAGAAGGGTGCTTTACACTACAGTTATAAAACTGCAACATTAACACCCCTCCTTCAGAGTGCAGGCACTGTACTTCCCATCTCCAGGACTCAAGTCCGGCCTGCCGGTTTACCTGAATCCCTTCATAAATGTTACCTTGCTTACACTCCAACAGCACGTCAAGTATTAACCCTTAAACTGTCCAAGCAGATCTACGTTCACATGCGTAGTGCTCCAAAAGTAGATCTACGTTTTTTTACATATTTTCAAATATAACAAAAAAAAAAAGTAGATTAAAGTTTTTTACACTTTTTCAAATGTAAAAAAAAAAAAGATCTACTTTTTTTACATACTTTCAAATGTTGAAAAACGTAGATCTACGTTTGGACAGTTTAAGGGTTAAAAAGCATTTGTCTCCATTCACTCCTATCAAATATGCTTATGCACGCTTGCTGGAAGTCCAAGCCCCTCTCACACAAAACCTCCTTTACCCCCTCCCTCCAACCCTTCCTAGGCTGACCCCAACCCCGCCTTCCTTCCACTACATATTTATACACTTTTGAAGTCACTCTGTTTTGTTCCATCCTCTCTGCATGTCCAAACCACCTCAACAACCCCTCCTCAGCTCTCTGGATAATAGTTTTGGTAATCCCACACCTTCTCCTAATTTCCGAACTACGAATTCTCTGCATTATATTCACACCACACATTGCCCTCACACATGACATCTCCACTGCCACTACCATCCACATAATGGATATGAGGTGCACAGTAAACTAGCCACTTCAGCAGCAAGATCACGGTCTAATCAGCGATTAGTGTAGTACACTGGTAGAGATCAACCATTCTGGTAGATACTGTCATGCGAGGGTAGTACACTGGTAGCTCCTACTGTTCTGCCATACAAGTGTGAAATGGAACCTTTTACTTAAATGTTTTGCTCTCTGGAAGGATTACTATTATCTCATTTTCTGTATCATAAACATGTAAGATGACAAACATCTCGCGTGCAAGATGACAAACATCTCGCATGTAAGATGACAAACATCTCGCATGTAAGATGACAAACATCTCGCATGTAAGATGACAAACATCTCGCATGTAAGATGGGCAAACTCTCGCATGTAAGAAGGGCAAACATCTGCATGTAAGATGACAAACATCTCGCATGTAAGATGACAAACATCACACATGAAAGTTGACAAACATCACACATGATAGTGACAAATATCTTGCATATTTACAAACATCTACACTCATCTTTTATGTGTACTTTCCTAATTGTTCTTTTTCCCGAAATATTTTCCTGTGATTGAGGCTTGGTGTGAGAGCAGGGTGTGGGGGCCATGATTCCCAGAACTATTAACACATCTATTTAAGTAAAAGCACACAAATGCAACTAATGTGATATTTTATTGTGGCAACTTTTCACTCTCCAGGAGCTTTGTCAAGCTGGTTCGCTCCTGGAGAGCGAAACGTTGCCACAATAAAATGTCATTAGTTGCATTTGTGTCCTTTTACTTAACATATTGTCAGTAATTCTACCAATATTAACACATCTATTGATGTTTCAGGTCTTGCCACATAAGAGAAGTTCTAAATCCACTGGAGTCAGCAGCCGTGTTGTACCTCTCTTAGAAACTTCAGAATCCTGTCCACCTCCACCTCCCCCTCCTGAAGTTTTCCAGGCAGGCACTCTGGATGAACACCTCGAAGCATCACTTTCTATTGTTAAAGATCCGAATAGAAACTCTACAAATCTTAGCATCCCTAATGATCAAGGTGGCAGCTCCTGGGAAACCTGGGACTTTGTGTATCGGGGTCTTGAAAAAAGGGGATATAGCAAAGACATAGGTGATCGCGGCGACATTCTCCACCAAATAACACGTCAAAACCTTTATCCAGAAGCAATAACCCATGGTAAGAACAACAACCTAAATAACAAGAAAGATGTTACGAAGAGTAAACCATTAACCATCAACCAAGCTTTGCAAGCTTTTACAATTAATGAAACACGAGAGAGAGTAGAGAGACCCTCCAGCTCCAGTAAAAGTTACCAGTCTGTATCTCACGGTGCTGCTCCTGATGTCTTCCCTAACCTTATAAAGAGGAACAGTGTTTATGATAATATATCTGCAGGCTTTGAGACAGCGCCCCAGGACAGTGATGACTACGAGGATAGAAAACCCATGTTAAAGAAGACCGGCAATTTGATTAGGACGGACAATAGATTAGATTTAAGTAATAAAAATAATGCAGCAGTTCTTCTTCACCACGGAGTTTAAGTATGAGTAGCAAGGGCTCTCACTCCAGACAGGAGTTGCCCTCGGAGACGTCGCACTCGACTACGACAGCCCCAACACTCCAGCCGGTGAGCATTACAACCACCACCACCCACTCTAGAGAGACACTACCTCTTAAAGACAGTATACTTGAAACACCATGGTCCTGTAGCACTTGTACTTTTCTAAATGACAAAACTCGAACAGCTTGTGACATGTGTGGGAAGTCACGCGTACCGGGCCCAGAAGCTAAGCCTCTCATATCTGGTGGTAGACAGTGTCCCCAGTGTACACTCATCAATGAGAGAGGGGCACAGGACTGTTCAGCCTGTGGTGTACACCTGGAGGGGTCTTCCACGTATATATAAAAGAATGCTATGTTAACCCTTAAACTGTCCAAACGTAGATTTACGTTTGCGCGTGTAGTGCTCTGACCTTGATTTTCTCCATAAGAAACAATGTAAAAAAAACATAGATCTACGTTCGGAGCACTACGCGAGCAAACGTAGATCTACGTTTGGACAGTTTAAGGGTTAAAGAAAGTAAATACTGAAAGTTAAAACAATCAGGCAACCAGTATTTTCTGGCTTTGCTAAATGATCATTGTCTATAGTTTTTTTTATCTTGGTAAGTTACCCATGAGTGTTGTGTTGTATTACATCGACTGTCGAATAATTATTTTGTCAACTAAAATTATCACATTGTGTCTGAGTAAGAGTTTTCCCATTTTATTAAGTCTCTCTCTTATTGCAGGTCAGTTAATATTTCTTAGGCTCTAGCACTGAAGGTTATTGATACTTCATCAATGTGAACATCAATGGGGTGAAGTCTCTCATAATATGCTGTGTGTTCATCGCTGGTTGTTAGACCTGCATTCTGGCCTCAAGTTGAACACACTTCTCTCTCTTTTAATAGACATTTTGCAGTCTCAATTATTTAGGACATCAACATTAATTTTCTCTACAGTCATAGTTTCTTTGTGGAACTTGTGGAGGTTAACATTTTAACAGTTTGTCCTTAGTAATGAAGAGTACAAAGTACTGGAGAATGAACACAAATGTTGATTCGTTGAGTAAAATAATGACTACATCAACTTTTAGTAAAATAACGACTTATGTTAAAATGCCAGCGTTTAATTTAACGTACATTTTCTGTGATGTTAGTCGAGTTAAACATAATACGAGGGCAGATCAAAAAGTTTTTGCTTCTATCGTTTTCTTAATACCATGTAACAATATTGGATATTTTCTTTGATTACATCTTGATATAGTTGTCAACCTTATTGAAGCTTGTTAGCAGTTTGTTAATGACTTCTGCATGGAATTCTATGGCTGATTTTGTAGTCATTCAGGAGCAATTGTCATCACAACATTGCATCAGTATATTGTCGTCCTTGCAACCTCTTCAGAGGTTCAAACATATGAGAATTACTGTGGACGAGATGGGGTTATTATTTTTTGTATCAGGAGAAAACTTTTCAGTCTGCCCTTGTGTATATGAGCTCAGTTTTCAATTATAAGTTATAGCACGGGTAAGAAGCCAGTACAGTCATATGCTGCTTTACGTCATTTTGGCCTACGTCAAATTCGCTTTACGCCACTTTTTTTTTTCTAGAGTAAATTTCAGATCAATGAATGTCATTACGTTTGGCTTTATGTCACTTAGCAATGTTACCTACTTCGTAATTTTAACTGTGGCATTATTCTTTAAAAAAAAAGTGACAAAAATGTGGTTTTACGGTTCTTTAAGGTTTAGAAATAGTTATATTCTTTCCTGAGTTATTTACACTAGTTTTATGGTATTTGTCATCTTTTTAAGGCATCAAGTCTGGTTTATGTCAAAATTGCGTTACATCACGGCTGTTGGAACCTATTAATGATGTTGGGCTGGGTACGACTGTATAAGTATTTACATTACCTTACTGCAAAATTATCATTGAGAGTTACAATGCCATATAGTCTGGTTCCTTGTATCAACAATCGCTGGCACTTAATTATAATCAAGCCATATTATGTTTTGTAAGTGCCACTTCCCCCCCCCCCCCCAGAAAATTCCGTATATGGATATCTATTTTAATATAAATGATATCGTGAAAATGCCGAACTGAATATATTTTCACAAAATTTTTAGTAATTAGTAGTGACTAGCATTGAATATAAAGATGTCACGACTTAGAAGCTAAGTTTGATCTTGCTCTACTGCAATAATACAACTTTAAAGTGACTTTTGTCTATACTGTATAATTATTACGCAAAAACTTGTGTCACCTTTTACGGTATATTTTGAAGGATAAATTTCAGTAATAAAAAGTCACAATATTGTAGTTGGAACAATTGAACAAAAACCTGCACTTATGAGAAGGAAGTTATGATGTAGCTCATCCTGGACCAGTGTCAAGTGTCCTGGACCAGTGTCAAGTGTCCTGGACCAGTGTCAAGTGTCCTGGACCAGTGTCAAGTGTCCTGGACCAGTGTCAAGTGTCCTGGACCAGTGTCAAGTGTCCTGGACCAGTGTCAAGTGTCCTGGACCAGTGTCAAGTATACTGGACCAGTGTCAAGTGTACTGGACCAGTGTCAAGTGTACTGGACCAGTGTCAAGTACACTGGACCAGTGTCAAGTTACACTGGACCAGTGTCAGGTGTACTGGACCAGTGTGAAGCATGCTGGACTAGTGTCAAGTGTACTGGACCAGTGTCAAGTGTACTGGACCAGTGTGAAGCATGCTGGACTAGTGTCAAGTGTACTGGACCAGTGTCAAGTGTACTGGACCAGTGTCAAGTGTACTGGACCAGTGTCAAGTACACTGGACCAGTGTCAAGTACACTGGACCAGTGTCAGGTGTACTGGACCAGTGTGAAGCATGCTGGACCAGTGTCAAGTATACTGGACCAGTGTCAAGTATACTGGACCAGTGTCAGGTGTACTGGACCAGTGTGAAGCATGCTGGACTAGTGTCAAGTGTACTGGACCAGTGTCAAGTGTACTGGACCAGGCTGGATCAAAATATCATTAGTTTCTTCTGGTCTCAAGTTTTTGGTATACATTTCATTTTTGCCAGAGGTAAAATGCAGATATTTTTACATCATCAGTGAGTGACATAGGACACACTAGCCATCATATAGTCAACAAAGTGCACTAACTATTTTATATTCAATACAACTTTTCTGTTTAACTGTTAAGAGCCAATATATAGCGTAGATAGTAATACTTGTATAGATACCATAGCTGGGATAACCTAATATTCATCCATTATATAAACTTTAAATTGTTGGTTTATATAACCCACAAGTGAATAAAACGCATGTAACATGTAAGTGGCTTTATTGTTGAGAAATTTTATTACTTTGTGGTTTTATCAGTCCAATATTGAGAATACTGAAGATGGTGGAAGACATAAGGTGATCAGTCCTTCAGTCTTGATGAATGTGTTGATAGTGGAAGACATGAGGTAGTAGTCTGAGGTGATAAGTCCCTTGGTTTTGCTAGGAAGTGTCAAGTCCGTCAGTCTTCATGGACTGAACATTTCCTAGCAAGAACGAGGGACTGATCATCTTAAACTATTGTCTTCCACCATCACCAGCATTCTCTGTATTTCACTGTTATTTACACTGGTTTGTAAAATATCTCCCCAACCTAGCCAAGTGTTGCACGTGTTTCTGTTCCTTAACATAATAAGTTTTCCGACTTGTAGGAATGTGACGCTTCACCACATCATGTTGATGTGTTGTTATAACGAGTAGTTGTTACGGCTAATATTTACCTTCCCGCCTTCAACAACAAATATTACCCCATATAGAAACCTGTAATCAACTCTGTGTTCTTAAATTTCGATTCTAATATTTTTTTATTTATTAACACATCGGCCGTCTCCCACCAAGGCATGGTGACCCGAAAAGTTAAAACTTTCATCATTCACTTCATCACTGTCTTGCCAGAGGTACACTTACACAACACTTATAAAACTGCAACATTAAAACCCCATTCTAATATTACACAGTTTATTTTTATTTTTTTGTATCAAGGGCACAGTGAACCCTCGTATAAACTTCTTATATATGCAATTTTTTTTTTTAGTAAATGCTGTGAAAATGACATGTAAATTTGAGTAGCTGGAGGAAAAGTCTTCAGTACTTGGTGTTCAGTTTTGATAATTAAGGCACTTGAGTGTCTTTATTGTGGTAATGTTTCACCATCCAGTGGTTTCCTCAGTTCAGTTCAAAGAAAAATGGTTGAAGATCAGAAGGTGTGTGAGGTAATCAGTCCCTCAGCCTGGAGTCATTGTATTCAGTCCAATATTTTCAAGATTGAACACACGGACTCCAAACTTAGGGACTGATTACCTCAAACTCTTGATCTTACATCATTATTCTCTGTATTGGACTGAGGAAGTCACCAGATCTATATTCAGTTTTAAATGAACTATTTTTCACACTGACAAAGCCTCACATTGTATAGAGGAGGTTTATAAGAAAACTGATAGTGATTCACAAGTTTGGAAGCCAAGAGAACAAACATATTTTTCCTGTTATAAAGAACAGTCAATACTATGACTGGAACAATACACGGATAACCCGCAAATAGGCGAGAGAACTTATTACCACGTTATGGACCAGCTTGGACCACTTACAGTCACACTGACTTTGTAAATGGTCCAAGTTAGACCATAGCATTGCTGTAAGCTCCTCTCTCAAACATGTGGGTTATTTGTGTATTTCCTGTTATAGTCCATGAGTGATGCAATAATATCACAGGCAGGTGATACACTGATATACAATATAGCCACAGTGAAGAGCAATATTGCAAGTGCATTTGTCATCTCTCATTATTAAGGAATGTGAGAGGTGACAAAGGTTCTTGAAATATTACTTATCACTGTGAATACATTGCAAACTAGTCTTTGTATATTGCACTTGCAACTTTCCCCAAGTATGACCGATTGCAGCTGTGTATGGGTTGTGTATTAAGGTATCAATCCCCAGTCCGATACCCGTAATATATTTTCTCACGTCTTATTCATTACTCACATTTTGTAATCCACATTCAAGCACAATGAACTAAATGATTGACTTTAACTTGTAAAGTTAAAATGTGTTTTTGGTTTGGTGTGATTAACCAAAAAACAGGAATATTATATATATAATTTTTTCGTTCCTCGTGTTGTTGAGATGACGTTACGGAAAAGTGTTATATGGAATGTTTATTGTTAATAGTAAACTGAGTTATGTTAAAAATGCTAGTGGATGGTTTAACTGGTTTTAACTATAGTGTTGTGCTGTAACTTGTTGCTGATGTGACTCGGTACTGTATCTTACAGCATGTGTCTCAGTGCTGTTTTGACTCGGTACTGTATCTTACAGCATGTGTCTCAGTGCTTTTTTTGACTCGGTACTGTATCTTACAGCATGTGTCTCAGTGCTGTTTTGACTCGGTACTGTATCTTACAGCATGTGTCTCAGTGCTGTTTTGACTCGGTACTGTATCTTACAGCATGTGTCTCAGTGCTGTTTTGACTCGGTACTGTATCTTACAGCATGTGTCTCAGTGCTGTTTTGACTCGGTACTGTATCTTACAGCATGTGTCTCAGTGCTGTTTTGACTCGGTACTGTATCTTACAGCATGTGTCTCAGTGCTGTTTTGACTCGGTACTGTATCTTACAGCATGTGTCTCAGTGCTGTTTTGACTCGGTACTGTATCTTACAGCATGTGTCTCAGTGACTAAGTACAGCATCATGCAACATGCATCATAGTGCTGGTGTTCTTGCTGTGATAAGTACAGCACCATGCATCATAGTGCTGGTGTTCTTGCTGTGATAAATACAGCATCAAGCAGCATGTGTTGTGGGTTACAATAAACTCACACATCTCAAGAATTATTTCACAATATACACTAGGAAGTTCATCACTACAATAGATATGAAATTGATAATGAGTTTCATTGTCATTGTTTCTCATCACATCACCTATTGAAATTATTCTTCACTATCATCCTAGAACATGAGTAGCTGTGATTATACTGAAGGATAGTGACCTGAATGATAGTCTGGTAGCAGTAGGTCCATCACTGGTCCACTGGTACAGTATTGAGTTTGCTACATAGTCCTGCAGTAGTAGGTCCATCACTGTACCACTGGTCCACTGGCTACAGTATTGAGTTTGCTACATACCAGGACTATAGTTCAGGTCATAGTCCTGCAGTAGTAGGTCCATCACTGTACCACTGGTCCACTGCTACAGTATTGAGTTTGCTACATACCAGGACTATAGTTCAGGTCATAGTCTGGCAGTAGTAGGTCCATCACTGTACCACTGGTCAACCCTTTGTACCACTGGTCCACCCTTCGTACCACTGGTCCACTGGTAGAACATTGAGAATTGTTCATTGTGACTTCCGTTTATACGTTGCCGTATAAACACAAGTCACAGGAAGACAGAAAGAACCTAGAGGTACATATAGTTACAGTCTCTGAAAATAATATCAGTGTGTTTACAGTCCATCCAGACACATAATACAGTTCATTTTTTTGTAGAATTGTTGGTGCTGTAGTTTGTGACAAAATGGCTGTATCACTCGGTACAAACATTGAAATACCAGATTGGTCTTTTGATGTAAACTGGTAGTGGTTTACTGTTCTTATGTATGTTGGTGTAAATGCAGAGTTAACATGTTATGGCCTCTTGTACCTATACCACACACAGTGTTATGTTCCTACACCACACACACACTGTTATGTTCCTACACCATACACGCAGTACTGATAGTTATGTACCTACACACACACACACACACACACACACACACACACACACACAGTACTGATAGTTATGTACCTACACACACCACACACACAGTACTAATAGTTATGTACCTACACACACACAGTACTGATAGTTAAAGGTTATATTTTCTAAACATTCACAGCATTCCTCCCTGTGTATAATATTGTACACTCCAAAGTGTAAACATTTATCATGTAATAATATACTAAAGAGTTAAATTTAATTAGTAAAATGAGTAAATTATCAAGAAGAGTTTGAAGGTTACTAACCTCAATAACAAGTTCTTAACTTGGGGAAACTTAAAGTGTTCACGGAGGTGCTGGTATGGTGTGCTATGATACAAATTATGCTGTTTATCTGGAGTTTATCTGGAGAGAGTTCCGGGGGTCAACGCCCCCGCGGCCCGGTCTGTGACCAGGCCTCCTTAGGTCAGTGTCCCAGGATGCGACCCACACCAGTCGACTAACACCCAGGTACCCATTTTACTGATGGGGAACATAGACAACAGGTGGAAAGAAACACGTCCAATGTTTCTACTCTGGCTGGGAATCGAACCCAGGCCCTCACCGTGTGAAGCGAGAGCGTTAACCACCAGGCCACCAGAGCCCTTTGTAGCAAATCTATTGCAACAAAATTTTAGGAAGTGGAGTTGTGTAGTTGCTGCCAGAGTTATTTTAGTCTTGGTGGTATAAAAATACTTTACACAAGTACATGATGTTGCAGTAGGCCTACTGGCCTATACTTGGCAAGGACTCGTATCCAACTCTTCCCACTCACGTATTTCTACAGCCTGTTCTTTGATCTTAGTGGGTGTGGCGCTTCTTTTTGATTATAATCCAGTCTGTTCTTAGAGTTGCCAACAAATTAATCTCAATAACCATAATAATGGATGCTATACTGACCCTACTGAAACTCAAACATTCTCACCCATTTGTCCAGCCTATTTTCCCAGCTACTAAAGAATTAACTTCAGTAACACTATTTACTAGTGTATTTGTCAAAGCTATTTTTGACAATGTTCACTTGGGAATCCTTTGACCTGTATTGTTTAATTAAATTGTAGCTTAATACCTTTATTATGCACCCCATACCCATCCTTTGGGTGGTAGGCAAAAAGATTGCTGAGGCACATAATAAGTCCAGGGACTATATCTCAACATTACAGAGCCACATAATGGATTTAAGCACTGTAATTCAACATTACAGAGGCACATAATGGATTTAAGCACTGTAGTTCAACATTACAGAGGCACATAATGGATCTAAGCACTGTAATTCAACATTACAAAGGCACATAATGGATCTAAGCACTGTAGTTCAACATTACAGAGGCACATAATGGATTTAAGCACTGTAATTCAACATTACAGAGGCACATAATGGATCTAAGCACTGTAATTCAACATTACAAAGGCACATAATGGATCTAAGCACTGTAGTTCAACATTGCAGAGGCACATAATGGATCTAAGCACCTTAATTCAATATTACAAAGGCACATAATGGATCTAAGCACTGTAGTTCAACATTGCAGAGGCACATAATGGATCTAAGCACTGTAATTCAACATTACAAAGGCACATAAGAGGTCCAGTGACTGAGCTGCAAAGTTCTGATAGGAAAATACTTTTTTGTACACTCAGTTTCTCTATAAATGCAGGTGACAAGGTAATCAATAATCACAGAGCAGTTAACAACATACATCAATAATCATAGAGCAGTTAACAACGTACATCAATAATCATAGAGCAGTTAACGACGTACATCAATAATCATTGAGCAGTTAACATGGCCTTCATAATACTTGCTATTCAATTTTGAGTGGCTTTTAAATCCCCTTCACAAAATTCACAATATACAGTGGACCCTCGACCAACGATGGCATCGACTAACGTTAAATTCGACTAACGATACATGTTAACGCTAACATGTTGCCTAGACTAACGTTAAAAAACTCTACTAACGATAATCGTTCTCAGGTACCAATTAATATCGTTAGTCGAGGGTCCACTGTACAGCATAGTTCAGTGAGAAGCTTCAGTACAAGTGGAAACATATTGGTAATATACTGCTGTGTACATATAGTTTATGCCATTCTATGAGAAGGTATTTCCTCCATCACTGACTTGTATTAAATTCAAATTTTTATTTTTTTTCATGCTGTACACAGATAATATAGTTTACATGTAAGATACAAAAAAAAAGCCACTAGTATGCAGTGTATTTGTTGCAGACTAATAAAGTATGATGGGGTTCAACATCTTCACAATAAAATGCCATAAAGTACATTTTTTTTTTTTTTGACACGTTGGCCGTTTCCCACCAAGGCAGAGTGACCCAAAAAAAAAGAAGCACTTTCACCATCATTGTCTTGCCAAAGGCACACAGATACTCCTCTAAACTGCAGATATCCCGACTCCTCCTTCAGAGTGCAGGCACTGTACTTTCCACCTCCAGGACTCGAATCTGGCTTCATAAAACTAACCTTGCCCACACTCCAACAGCATGTCAAGTCCCAAAAACCATTTGCCTTCACTCACTCCTATCTAACGTGTTAACTCACCTGCTGGATGAGTACACATGATTTACACATGATTTATATTGTAGTATTAACATTGAAAATTAAAGAGTTGAAGCAGTTTACCCAGTGAATTTTGTTCTTTATTTTACAAATTCACTGTTAAAATTTGTTATGTTGATGTTTTGATGTCTATTTAATGAAGGAGATAGATTACAGTATGAATACGTAAGAGTGACACTATAATTTACTGTATCTGGTCAAATATTTCCAGCATCTTTTTTCTGGTTGTGTTATTACTGTTATATAAAAAACTGGAAGTAGGTAAGCAGGCAGTTAGCAGGTGTAGAGGAAATGTAGTAGTACAGTGGAATCTCGGTTTTCGTCATTAATTCGTTCGAAAAACTCTGATGAAAACCTGAATTGTATGAAAATTCAAGCAATATTTCCCATGAGAAATAATATAAATCCAATTAATCCATTCCAGACACCCAAAAATATTAACAAAAAATACATTTTATAGAGAATAACTATAGTTTTAGGTTGGTAGACAGCAGCCGCCCAGGGAGGTACTACCGTCCTGCCAAGTGAGTGTAAAACGAAAGCCTATAATTGCTTTACATGATGGTAGGATTGCTGGTGTCCTTTTTTGTCTCATAAACATGCAAGATTTCAGGTATGTCTTGCTACTTCTACTTACACTTAGGTCACACTACACATACATGTACAAGCATATACATGTATAAACACACCCCTCTGGGTTTTCTGCTATTTTCTTTCTAGTTCTTCTTGTTTATTTCCTCTTATCTCCATGGGGAAGTGAAACAGAATTCTTTCTCCGTAAGCCATGCATGTTGTAAGAGGCAACTAAAATGCTGGGAGCAAGGGGCTAGTAACCCCTTCTCCTGTATAAATTACTAAATTTGAAAAAAGAAACTTTCGTTTTTCTTTTTGGGCCACCCCGCCTCGGTGGGCCACCCCGCTTCGGTGGGCCACCCTGCCTTGGTGGGCCACCCTGCCTCGGTGGGATACGGCCAGTTTGTTGAAAGAAAAGAAGAAATTAGAGTTTTACATACAAACTAGGACATACGAAAACCAAGGTTCCACTTAGTTACTGATATAACATCAGATAATATGTAAGGTAGTGTTCGGTAATAGTTACTGATACAACATCAGATAATATATAACAGGTGCTTATTTGAGCTACAGTATTAGGAAGACTGAAAAAATTTAATCTTGAGAGAATGTAGAAGTGTTTTTTCCTATATTATTATTATTATTATAATTAAAAAGAAGCGCTAAGCCACAAGGGTTATACAGCGCTGCGTTTTTTTCCTATAACAGTGGCAAACTGTGTGATTGCATTTATAACAGGTGGATAATGGCTAGTTTTCTGTTCTGGTGTTTATTTTATTGCATGTTAAATACATTTTGTATATTCCTTTTTTTTTAAAGTATGAAGTACCTTGGCCATGCTCTCTAATCTTGCAATGGCACTGAATAACCTCTCAGCACTTACACTTTCCATCAATATTATAATTAAAATGTAAATCATTATTAAAAATATATGACTTAAGTTGTTCTTGAACTGGTACACTTATACGGTGGTCTGTCGAGTTGCAATATTAATGTCTTACAGATGTATTGTACCTGCAAACTGTGGTAATATCAGCCACAAAGTACCTGGGTTATGGTACCACAAACCTGGGTTATGGTACCACAAACTACCTGGGCTATGGTACCACAAACTACCTGGGTTGTGGTACCACAAACTACCTGGGTTATGGTACCACAAGCTACCTGGGTTATGATACCATAAACTACCTGGGTTATGATACCACAAACTACCTGGGTTATGGTACCACAAGCTACCTGGGTTATGATACCATAAACTACCTGGGTTATGATACCACAAACTACCTGGGTTATGGTACCACAAGCTACCTGGGTTATGCTAATTCAATGCAAAACCTGAGAACTCAACTTTTATTTTACACACTACCACATAACTTCTCCCCCTTCATCTGCTTCTCTCATTAACAAAAGTCTTTCCATCTCAGAATATCTGACTTTTTTTTTCACTAGCTTAAATTCATCAGAAACTTTTAATATTCTATATTATTTCTTTTGTTTGATAATAGCAAAGATGTTTTACGAAAAGTCATACTAACGCAATTATGCACTAATTCCTTGCCTCAGAGAAATTTCTTGTTCACTGCACACTTTACAGGCCATGATGACTTAACACAAAAGATGGCGTAATTATAACAGAAATGCATTTTTTTTAACACGTCGGCCGTCTGCCACTGATACAGGGTGACCCAAAAAAAAAAAAAAAAAAAAAAAAAACTTCCACCATCATTCAACACCTTCTCCATCATTCACACACAACTTAGGTTAATTTTGTCCCCCAGGATGCCACCCACAACACTCGTACCATCATATACACATCACATCCTGTTTTTCATTGCAACTCAGAAATATTGTAACTCAAGTGACCACTGTATTCACATTTCAGTTATCTATATATATTACTAACATGTTTATTTATACATGTTCACTTATACGTGTTACTAATGTGTTTGTTTATACATGTTACTAACATGTTTGCACATGTTACTAATGTCTTTATTTATACATGTTACTAACATGTTTGTTTATGCATGTTTCAACATGTTCTCTGCATGTTACAAACTCATAATGTTTCTTTGTGCTTTCCTCCACTAAATTATACGACAAATGCTGTATAATTTGTCCAATTATCCATTTAATAATTAACAAGTATTGTAAGGTACCAGTGGTCCTTGACTTACGTTGGGGTTATGTTCTGATGAACCGTTCCTTTGTACGCCAAAAATATTGTAAATTTGATAGTATGAATATAATATGCTAAGTAAATAAATAATTACTGTCACTGAAAAATTATATGAGCAAATAATACTGTAACTAACTGCTTTTGCACCATCATGAAGTTGAACCATCGAAAGTCGAACCATCCTAAGTCGAACTATCGTAAGTCGAACCATCCTAAGTCGAACCATCGTAAGTCGAACCATCATAAGTCGAACCATCCTAAGTCGAACTATCGTAAGTCGAACCATCCTAAGTCGAACTATCGTAAGTCGAACCATCATAAGTCGAACCATCGTAAGTCGAACCATCATAAGTCGAACCATCATAAGTCGAACCATCATAAGTCGAACCATCGTAAGTCGAAAGGTCATAAGTCGAACCATCGTAAGTCGAACCATCATAAGTCGAACTATCGTAAGTCGAACCATCATAAGTCGAACCATCATAAGTCGAACCATCATAAGTCGAACCATCGTAAGTCGAACCATCATAAGTCGAACCATCGTAAGTCGAAAGGTCATAAGTCGAACCATCGTAAGTCGAACCATCGTAAATCAAGCCATCGTAAGTCGAGCCATCGTAAAGTCGAACCATCGTAAAGTCGAGGAGCACCTGTGTATTAGAACTCTCATGTTCATCACTTGTTGTCTTCTCTCAAGAACTGTAAATCAATCATCTCATAATCACGCAAGGAAAAATATCTTACTTTTTATAACACTTGTTGGCTGGATTAACCCGTAAACGGTCCAAACGTATACATACGTTTTTTTCAACATTTGAAAGTATATAAAAAAAGTAGATCTTTTTGTTTTTCTACATTTGAAAATGCCTAAAAAAAACTTTGATCTTTTTTTTTTGTTATATTTGAAAATATATAAAACAACATAGATCTACTTTTGTAGCGCTACACGTGTAAACGTAGATCCGCTTGGACCGTTTACGGGTTAAAGTCAGGACTTGGAGAATTATTTCAAGAGACATTGGCTTGCATACTTTAAGTTCACTTATAAAGCTCCTTTATATGTGTACTTTATTGTAACTTACATTCAAAAAGTCTTTACAGAATTGAATAGTGTGAAGAAAGGCTTCAATATTACGCACGTCAATTTTAGATGCACTTTTATAATTGCATTTAGAAACACACCACACTGTATGGAGCTTTATGAGAGAGCTGACTGTACATTGAGGAGCTTTATAAGACAGTTGACTGTACATTGAGGAGCTTTATAAGACAGCTGACTGTACATTGAGGAGCTTTATAAGACAGCTGACTGTACATTGAGGAGCTTTATAAGACAGTTGACTGTACATTGAGGAGCTTTATAAGACAGTTGACTGTACATTGAGGAGCTTTATAAGACAGTTGACTATATATTGAGGAGCTTTATAAGACAGTTGACTGTACATTGAGGAGCTTTATAAGACAGTTGACTGTACATTGAGGAGCTTTATAAGACAGTTGACTGTACATTGAGGAGCTTTATAAGACAGTTGACTGTACATTGAGGAGCTTTATAAGACAGTTGACTGTACATTGAGGAGCTTTATAAGACAGCTGACTGTACATTGAGGAGCTTTATAAGACAGTTGACTGTACATTGAGGAGCTTTATAAGACAGTTGACTATATATTGAGGAGCTTTATAAGACAGCTGACTGTACATTGAGGAGCTTTATAAAACAGCTGACTGTACATTGAGGAGCTTTATAAAACAGCTGACTGTACATTGAGGAGCTTTATAAAACAGCTGACTGTACATTGAGGAGCTTTATAAGACAGCTGATGGTATATTGAGGAGCTTTATAAGACAGCTGACTGTACATTGAGGAGCTTTATAAGACAGCTGATGGTATATTGAGGAGCTTTATAAGACAGCTGACTGTACATTGAGGAGCTTTATAAGACAGCTGATGGTATATTGAGGAGGTTTATAAGACAGCTGACTGTACATTGAGGAGCTTTATAAGACAGCTGACTGTACATTGAGGAGCTTTATAAGACAGCTGACTGTACATTGAGGAGCTTTATAAGATAGCTGACTGTACATTGAGGAGCTTTATAAGACAGCTGACTGTACATTGAGGAGCTTTATAAGACAGCTGACTGTACATTGAGGAGCTTTATAAGACAGCTGATGGTATATTGAGGAGCTTTATAAGACAGCTGACTGTACAGTGGTACCTTGAGTTACGAACTCAATTCATTCCAGAAGGCTGTTCGAGTGCTGATACCCAACGAATTTCTTCCCATGAGGAATAATGTATATTAGATTAGTCCATTTCAGACCCCCAAAAATACACTTACAAAAGCACTTACAAAAATACACTTACAAAAGCACTTACATAATTGTTCGAGTTGAGAGCTTTTCGAAACTCGACGTACCACTGTATATTGATAAGCTCCATAAAACAGCTGACTGTAAATAAACTCGAATTTCCCAAATTGGGAAATAATTTTATATAGTGTATCTTTGGTTGGTTGGGGAGGAAGGTAGAAGTTAATGTTCCATACTCCAGTACCTGTTAATGGGGCTAAACAGTGGGAAAGATAATTGATTTTTTAACACACCGGTCGTCTCTTGCTGAAGTAGGGTGACCAGAAATGAGGAAACACTTTCACCATCGCTTATTCAATTGCTGCATTGTCAGGATCATTCTAATATCAGTTCAGATGGACCTCTGAACTACAACATTCTTACCCACCTTCCAGAGTACAAGTACTGTACATCCCACCTCCAGAACTGTAACATCCTCACTCATCCTTCAGAGTACAGGTATTGTACTTCCCACCTCCAGAACTGTAACATCCTCACCCATCCTTCAGAGTACAGGTATTGTACTTCCCACCTCCAGAACTGTAACATCCTCACCCATCCTTCAGAGTACAGGTATTGTACTTCCCACCTCCAGAGCTGTAACATTTTCACGCATCCTTCAGAGTGCAGGCACTCTACATTCAACCTCCAAAACTCAAAGTCTTGCTACCTGGTTTTCCCTGAATTCCTGCTCATGCTCCAACAGCACATTAGGTCACTAAAACCACCAGTCTTCACTGTTGTCTAATACACTCACAATAATCATCAAGGTTGGTCAGGGACCTGCATATACTAATGCTGACAAGAGTGGGTATAAGAACACAAGTTTTACTTCTAACATCTAATTCAAGGCAGAGGTTTATCAAGACATGATATAACAAAACTCAAGTGTAACCAGATCAGAAATACAGTAGGGTGCGGGTTACGTTCCAAGGACCTGCCGTATTACCAAAACCCTGGATAGTAGCAAACCCTATATGCAAGTCCCATACATGTCTATTATAAAGTGTAATTCATAAATTATGCACATTAAGTGGAGAATTATCACTTTTTTCACCGATGGAAATCACTTCACAGCTTCTCTTAGGCTTTTAAAAACTAAATAGTGGATAACTGAAATCGTGTATACCAAATCAGTGGATACTGGGGTTCTGCTCTATATTAACCCTTAAACGGTACAAACGTATATATACGTTCACGCGCGTAGCGCCCCAAACGTATATATACGTTTTCTTTGTCATTCATTCAACATTGCCACAATAAGCCTGAGTCACCTAGACATGAGAGAATGGGTGTGTGCACTCACTGTGTGCCATATTAAAATAATTGGGAATGCCTGGGTACCATATGCTCTTTTTTCCTTTTAAAAGAAAAGATTTTTTTTTTCCTCAAAAAATTTGGGGCGCTACGCGAGTGAATGTATATATACGTTTGGACCGTTTAAGGGTTAATAATTGATTACCACTCATACTTGCTTAGCTGCCATAACACTGTGGTTCAGTTCCTGGATCCATTATGTGCTTCTCTAATATGTGGACTACCACAGACAGTATAAATATGGGGGTACAAAATAGAGCTAATTAAATACAGCTTCATATGTTACTTAATGAACATTATCCTGGTAAAAGCTTGTTCATACCATGGAAGGAGATCATTAAGACATGTGTATCAGTTAGATATCCTTATTCTGATACATTTTGCCTACACAGTAGACTTCTTTAGTTGAATACAGAGGAGGCAGCAGAAGCAGTAGAGATGTAGAGACGATGTAATCAGTCCACCACATTGTCGAGGGTGATGGACTGATTATATAGTTTTTAAAGCTCTACTCCTCCTGCTGCCTACTCTGTACTTGACTAAAAAAAGCCTACTGTATAGGTGAAATATTTCAGACTAAAGATACCTAACTGCTGTACATGTGTCTTACTTGTCATCTCGTCAACATAGTATACCATTATCATATTCACATCATGGAAAGAGGAGAACAGAGAAGAGAATGTGGCAACTGATTATCGTGTTCCTTATTGGCAGTAAACATTTGGTGGGAGCCATTTTGTAATGTGTAATAGAGGTCATCATGAATGGGTGATATACGAGAAAGTTATGCGTGTGATTATTAAAACATTGAGGATATTTCATCGTCCAAATAAGCAGTTATCACGTTCTTTGTGATGATCTTTTGCCTCGTGTTCTTCATTGAAGAATGTCGGTAAATTTGTTAGACAGGAACGGCCTTTTGAGTCATGAATCAAATTATACTCATTAAGATGACTGCCTCACGGGCGACTGCCTCACAGGCGACTGCCTCACGGGCGACTGCCTCACGGGCGACTGCCTCACGGGCGACTGCCTCATGGGCGACTGCCTCACGGGCGACTGCCTCACGGGCGACTGCCTCACGGGCGACTGCCTCACGGGCGACACAGTTAATAACCAATCCTGAGTTAACATGTTATACAGTGGCTCCCAGACATAACATTGAAGGTTCCGCAGTATCACTGGAGTTAACAATCTCTTGCATAGACAGTAAGTTTCATGATGTGTTATTTGTGATATTAACTACATCTCTCGGTAAATATACATGGAGAGAGTATTTCAATTACTATCTTAGGTGTTAACACTTAACCCTTTCAGGGTTGGCAGGCCCTCTTCTAAACTTTTTCTCAGGGTCGGTAATTTTTAGAAAAAAAAAAAATTCTTATGAAATGATAGAGAATCTCTTTGCAATCATAATGACACCAAAAGTATGAAATTTGATGGGAAACTTACGGAATTATGCTCGTGAAGTTAGCGGTCTCGACGATGTTTACGCATCAGCGATTTCGCCCACTTTGAGCCCTATTTTCGGCCAATTCCAATGTACCAGTCGTCAAAAATCATAATTATTTCGCTAGAACTCCATTTTTTCTATCGAATGAGTACAAGAAACCACCCATTTACCGATTTCAACTATCCAATAAAGTGCTCCAAAATTGGCAATTTTGCCAATTTCACACAAATTTCAGAAGATGCCAATTTCCAAACAGGGTCCAGAATAAACAAGACAGACATTCCTGGCACTAAAATAACATTTCCACTGTTCATTAGTCATGTCCCCAGGCCTCTGTTACATTTCTTTTGCTTTCCACTTTGAATTTTTATTCTCAAAAAATAGAAGATTTACTGTTATGCAGACTACTACATTAGTGTAGAAATGGTATAAATAATATCAGCGCACTTGTGAAAGAATATTAGACTTACCAATTGATGTGTATTGGACGCATGGCTTGATTTATTTACTTTTGAACTTTGGCAAAAATCAAACATTTCTGCTACTTTGAGCTCAATTTCGAGGTACTTTTCATTGTGAAACCACTGAAAAATCATCTCAATTTCCGTAATATGTCTTCCATTCTATAAAATGAGACCATGAAAACTAGAATACAACCATAAATAGCATACGAAAATACACTGCAAATTCAATGTTTTAAACCAAAAACACGGTTGGAGTTTTTTTTTTTTTCTCATTATGCACTGTGTGCTGCAGGATTCTTTTTTTATACTGCACACACCGACCACATAGACCTATTCTTTCATATGTAGGCCTACCAGCTTTCTCTCGCTAGATTTGAAGGCGCTAGAATTTATGCGTACTAGTACGGCAACAACCCTGGCGTGCAAGCCGTACTAGTAAGGGACCAACCCTGAAAGGGTTAAATTGTTCGAATGTAGATCTGTTTTTTTTTTTTTTTTTACATGCTTTAAATGTAAAAAAAATGTAGAACTGCGTTTGGAGCGCTAGCGGTGCAAACGTAGATCTACGTTTGGACAATTTAAGGTTAAAATATTTTCGACTAGTGGCAAAGAAGTTCTATGGAATCTTGATGACCCTTGTGTAGTCGACAGCCTTTGAACCCCATTAACCAACCAGGCAGACCCTGCTTTACAGCATTTAGCTTAATGGTGCTTGACTAATACAGCAGCTTTCAATTATATGCATTCTTCATTTATCCAGACTTCCTACAATAAATATACAGGTCTCCCTCAACATTCGCGAGGGTTAGGGGATCAAGAGCCTCACGATTCTCTTCAATTCTATCGTATTATTATTATTAACATGATAGAATTGAAGAAGGAAATACAGTGGACCCCCGGTTAACGATATTTTTTCATTCCAGAAGTATGTTCAGGTGCCAGTACTGACCGAATTTGTTCCCATAAGGAATATTGTGAAGTAGATTAGTCCATTTCAGACCCCCAAACATACACGTACAAACGCACTTACATAAATACACTTACATAATTGGTCGCATTGGGAGGTGATCGTTAAGCGGGGGTCCACTGTAGTACAAAAATACAAGGGTTGAAGCAGTGGTGGAAGAAGTGGTTGATGCATTGTCAGTGTGACTGTTTATGCTGGAGTGAGCATTAGTCTCCGTGCTCTTCCAAACATCTCACAATAATTCATTGTGTTTGGTGCTTGTAGATTGAGTGCGACTGGAGTGGTAGAGGCAATGGTAAAGGCAGTGGTAGAGACAATGGTAGAGGCAGTGGTAGAGGCAGTGGTAGAGGCAGTGGTAGAGGCAGTGGTAGAGGCAGTGGTAGAGGCAGTGGTAGAGGCAGTGGTAGAGGCAGTGGTAGAGGCAGTGGTAGAGGCAGTGGTAGAGGCAGTGGTAGAGGCAGTGGTAGAGGCAGTGGTAGAGGCAGTGGTAGAGGCAGTGGTAGAGGCAGTGGTACAGGCAGTGGTACAGGCAGTGGTACAGGCAGTGGTACAGGCAGTGGTACAGGCAGTGGTTGAGGCAGTGGTTTTTAATAACATAATAATAATACATGTTATTAATAACATGTATTATTATTAACATATATCTTATTAAATACTACTGCCTATACCACTTCCTCAACCGCTGCCTCAACCACTGCCTCAACCACTGCCTCTGCCACTCCAGTCACACTCAATCTACAAGCACCAAACACAAAGAATTATTGTGAAATGTTTGGAAGAGTGTGGAGACTAATGCTCACTCCAGCATAATCAAAGCCACACTGACTGACGATGCATCAACCACTTCTTCCACCACTCCTTCAACCCTTGTATTTTTGTACAATTTCCTTCAATGTTATCGTATTATTATTATTATTATTATTATTATTATTATTATTATTATTAGCAGTAGCAGTAGCAGAAATGTTTGGTTCTTTGCCGTGTTCAAGAGTAAACATATGATGTCACCGTCCAATACCTGTCTGAATAGCCATTCCAATATTCAATCATGAATGGGTTGACATTAATTATACTGTAGTTTAATAGCAAATAATGAACAAACAAAACACTCACCACACTGAGTGGTGGGAGGGCTGGCTGCCAGTTTTGGGGGTCGGAGGGAGGGTAGTAGGGACTCGCGAGTGGCAGGAAACTTAAATATGATTTGGCGGCTGGGAATTTGGCGGTTGGGAATTTGGCAGTTGGAAATTCGCGAATGTGTGAAGCCCGCGAATGTTGAAGGAGACCTGTATTCACCACTCATTGTAAGCTAAGGACAAAAACGACAAAAATATTTTAAGGGAAGTACAGTGGACCCCCGGTTAACGATATTTTTTCACTCCCGAAGCATGTTCAGGTGCCAGTACTGACTGAATTTGTTCCCATAAGGAATATTGTGAAGTAGATTAGTCCATTTCAGACCCCCAAACATACACGTACAAACGCACTTACATAAATACACTTACATAATTGGTCGCATTCGGAGGTGATCGTTATGCGGGGGTCCACTGTACAAACACTCCTCACTTAACGATGGCTCAGACTTATGACCAGCTCTCCGACCAATATGCACACCTTAGTAATGTATATTAAAGCTGATTTCTTCTATATAAACATTTACAAATATACAAAAAAACACTACAAGTGGTGCAAAGGTGACATTAAAACAATATCTTAAGATGGATGACATAAACCCACTATCAATACAGTATGCTCCTCGCTTAACGACCAATTCGTTTACCGACAAACTCTTAAGAATGGAGCTCTTAAGTGAGGAGTACCTGTAATTTGTGTACTGTATATGCATTTTATAGGCCTAGCTCTGTTGCTCACAGCTGTATAGCCCTTGTGGCTTAGCGTTTCTTTTTTTATTATAATAATAATATCTGTTGCTCACTTAATATGTGATAGTGTAAACATGTTATCAGGCTTTTATATGCATTTGATAGTGAAAAAAATGTGTTTCACTTTACAGTGGTACAGAACCTGTATAAGTGGGGTCCTCCTGTACTTTTACAGCTACATTATCATGGAAATATGAGGTTCTCTACACATATACTGCTATGTATGATAATCTATGTAACTATTTGTGTATACCTGAATAAACTTACTAAAACAGGGTCAGACTCAAACATTTACTATATAATATTTCTTGACAGAGCAGTAAAGTCTTGTAATCGTACCAAAGAGAAGATAGTGTGCAATAATGTTGCAACAGATCTTATCAAATTTAGCTATTGTAAATGTAACTATCTTAGATGTTTTTTTAAAAACACTGAACGTTTTTATACCTGTGCAATATTTTGTAAAAAACTATCCTAGAATGTGATGTAGTTTGTCTTTGAGGACTTGACTGTGCCATTGTGGGAATAATGGAGGAACTTGTACTTGCTTCTAGAATGGTATAAATTGACACTTTCTAAAATTGTGTCTTTTTTATCATGAAGTTAAGATTGTAATAATAATAATAATGATGTGAAAGTAAGTCCAGACAGTCATTATTGGTCTCTGGTCATACATTACACTGTTTACATTGGCTTGACGTAGTTCCTGATGAGAGAAATTTAGCAAGTGTCACATTTGTTGCACATATCCACTAACTTATATTGTGGATAGTATAACCAGTAATTAATCATCGTTCTTAATACTGAAAGTCTTTAAAAAAATTCACACTGTTATCATGTCAACTTACACTCGGTTGCCTTTTTTGTTTGGCCTTAAATTTTTTTCTACCTCAACAGTTGTGTCCCACCAAGGTACTGTGACCCAAGGAAAGTACATTCATCATTGCTGTCACTATACCTCCAGAAGTATGTTGATGTTACAGTTATCATGACTCTTTGAACTACAACATCCTCATCCATCCTTCAGAGTACAAGTACTGTACTTCCCACCTCCAGAAATGCAACACCCTCATCTCATCCTTCTGAGTACAGGTACTGTACTTTCCACCTCCAGAAATGCAACATCCTAACTCATCCTTCAAATACAGGTACTGTACTTCCCACTTCCAGAACTGTAACATCCTCACTCGTTCTTCAGAGTGCAGGCACTGCACTTCCCACCTCCAGAAATGCAACATCCTCACTCATCCTTCAGAGTACAGGTATTGTACTTCCCACTTCCAAAACTGTAACATCCTCATCTATCCTTCAGAGTACAGGCACTGTACTTCCCACCTCCAGAACTGTAACATCTTTGCTCATCCTTCAGAGTACAGGCATTGTACTTCCCACCTCCAGAAATGCAACATCCTCACTCATCCTTCAGAGTACAGGCATTGTACTTCCCACCTCCAGAACTGTAACATCCTCACTCATCCTTCAGAATACAGGCACTGTACTTCCCACCTCCACCTCCTGCTAACTGGTTAACATTAATTCTTCCATAAATGTTACTTTGCTCACACTCCAACAGCACATGAAGTCATAAAAGCCACTTAGGCTTCATGTTTACCAATAATCAGTCATCTATTCAGTGGTGTGTACCAGCAGCATTTGCATAGTTTGCAACAGTAGGTCCATGTTTATTCAACTTAAATCCAGAAGTATATGGCTGTCACAAGCAATAGTGAAGGCAGCAAGTTAGGACTTGCTGCCTTCATTCTTAAGTTTCATGTACGAAGTAATTGCGTTTACGCCATTGTAAAGGTGGAATATTTTAAGTCGAACCATCGTAAGTCGAGGAGCACTTGTATTTTTTGTAATTTTTGCACACTTTTTCACACAATAATAATGTATATGTTTATTTCTACCGGTACATAATACAACTTATACAGACCATAGCTGACATCAGTGACATACTACTATATAGGAAGTCCCTTGTTATGCTGAGCATTTCCTGCAAATTAGGTCAGTTTTGTCCCAGGATGTGACCCACACCAGTCCACTAACACCCAGGATGTGACCCACACCAGTCCACTAACACCCAGGATATGACCCACACCAGTCCACTAACACCCAGGTACCCATTTTACTAATGGGTGAACATGGATAACAGGTGTAAGGAAACACGCACAGTGTTTCCACCCTTGCCAGGAATTGAGCCCGGACATTCAGCATGTGAAGCCAGAGCTTTGTCTACCAGGCCATTACCACTATTTAAACTGGCACTAATTGAGTACTTTACTGCTTTTATTACTATTTTAAACATTAGACAGTCCCACTATTACTCTTTTACAATAATATTTTACTTAAGTGGTCATACTTTTGACATCTTTATTTATACATTTCTTGATCAAGTGAATTAACCACTTGTGTTCTTTGTGGTCATAAATTTTTATTATAAATCAATAAAGAAATATTAGTTTTCCAACTTTCTCTGAGTTTATTCAATTATTTTTATTGCGTGTTCAGTTGAACTACTGGTGAACAAAAAGTTATAGTATATACATACATGTATTGTATGGTTATACAGTATATACATGTACTGGATAGTTATACACTTTATACATGTACTGGATAGTTACAGTGTATATAGGATGACCCTTAATAAAGGAAACACATTCATCATCATTCTGTCTTGCCAGAAGTGTTGATATTTTAATGCCCCTCCAACATGTCTGTCCCTTTCCCTGAGTGCAGACACTCTCCTTCCTACCTCCAGGACTGTAACATCCTCGCCCATCCTTCACAGTGTAGGTACTGCACTTCCCACCTCCAGGACTGTAACATCCTCACCCATCCTTCACAGTGTAGGTACTGTACTTCCCACCTCCAGGACTGTACCATCCTCACCCATCTTTCAGAGTACAGGTACTGTACTTCCCACCTCCAGGACTCCATCCATCAGCTACACAGCATAGCTAGCCATGAAACACTTTCCTACTTGCCTCCATTCACTCCAATCTAGTTAAGTTATGCAAGCCTGCTGGATGCAGTACAGTGGACCCCTGCTTTATGATCAGCTCCCAATGCGACCAATTATGTAAGTGTACAGTATTTATGTAAGTGTGTTTGTACGTGTATGTTTGGGGGTCTGAAATGGACTAATCTAATTCACAATATTCCTTATGGGAACAAATTCGGCCCGGTGGTCTGGTGGCTAAAGCTCCCGCTTCACACACGGAGGGCCCGGGTTCGATTCCTGGCGGGTGGAAATTCCGACACGTTTCCTTACACCTATTGTCCTGTTCACCTAGCAGCAAATAGGTACCTGGGTGTTAGTCGACTGGTGTGGGTCGCATCCTGGGGGACAAGATTAAGGACCCCAATGGAAATAAGTTAGACAGTCCTCGATGACGCACTGACTTTCTTGGGTTATCCTGGGTGGCTAACCCTCCGGGGTTAAAAATCCGAACGAAATCTTATCTTATCTTATCTTAACATACTTCTGGAATGAAATAATATCGTAAACTGGGGGTCCACTGTACTTCCAGAGGCTCTAAAGGTCTAGTAAAGTTATACAAGCCTGCTGGATGCAGTACCTTCAAGCTCTGAAGGTCTATCCGCCTTCATCCTTTTTTTCCTGGAACAACAATTACCTATCTTCCACCTCAGATTTATACACCTTCTTGGTTATATTCTCCTCTATATTGAGGAGTCCCAATCCACCTCAACATTCCCTCCTATCAGTAACGATTTTATTTTTTAAACAGTGGAGGGGTAAGCTAGTGGAAGGCCTCAGTCAGATGACCAAAAGCTACAGCTGTGGGTCATCATATATATGACTAAAACTTGTGGCAGGAAACACTTGTACTGTTTCCTGAAAAATCTTACCTAACTTTACCTCTAACCCTTCCTCAACACTCAATTATACCTTTAGTAACCACATACACTTTTTAATTTCTATGCTCTCAATTCTCTACATAATATTCATACCACACTTTGCTCTCAGATGTAACATCTGTTCTGCCTTCAACATTTAAAACCCATGACTCACACTCATATAAAAGTGTTGGTACCACTATACTCTGGTACATTCCCAGTTTTTGCATACACAAATGAACATATTTCTTTCCAGATAGATCTCAAAACACCATCTACATTTTTCCCCTTATCTGTTCTGTTGTTCATCTCATCTTTCACAGACCCATCTGCTGACATGTTCACTCCCAAGTATCTGAACACATCCACAACCTACGAACTTCCTCCAGTCTGATATTCTTTCATTGTCAAGACTGTTATCCTCATCACTTAGTTTTTTCCAATGTTTACTCTTAATTGCCTTCTTTTATATATCCTTTCATGTTCCTCCACCAACTTATGCAACTATTATCAAGAATCTCCCAAAAGAACAGTATCATCAGGAAAGAGCAACTCTCATGCATGCATGCATGCATACATACATGCATGCATACATGTGTGTGTGCGTACGTTCACCTAATTCACTGAATAGTGGTTGCAGGGGTCGAGTTATAGCTCCTGGCTCCTCCTCTTCACTGGTTACTACTACGTCCTTTCTCCCTGCTCCACGAGCTTCATCATACACCTTAAATCTGTGTATGGATCTTGCCTCTGCTACATCACTTTCCAGACTATTCCACTTTCTGACACCTTGTCAATTCCTCTCAGTATTTTATATGCCATTGTTATGTCCCCCTTATCTCTCCAGTATTATCAGGTCAATTTCCCTTAACCTTTCCTCATAGTTCATGCCCCTTAGCTCCAGGACTAGTCTTGTTGCAAACCTTTGCACTTGACCAGGTATGGTTTCCAAACTGGTGCTGCAAACTCCAACATTGGCCTGACGTACACAGTGTACAGTGCCTGACGTACACAGTGTACAGCGCCTGACGTACACAGTGTACAGTGCCTGACGTACACGGTGTACAGTGCCTGACGTACACGGTGTACAGTGCCTGATGTACATGGTGTACAGAGTCTTGAACGATTCTTTACTAAGGTGTCTAAACACTATTCTTAGGTTTGCTAGTCTCCCATATGCTGAAGGAGTGGTTATTTGGTTGATGTGCGCCTCAGGAGATGTGCTCAGTATTCTCACCCCAATATCCTTTACCTTGAATGAAGTTTGAAAACTTTGGGCCCCTAGCCTGTACTCTGCAGTCTTCTTTGCCCTTCCCCGATCTTCATGACTTTGTACTTCATGGGGTTGAACTCCAGAAGCCAGTTGCTGGACCAGACTTGCAGCCTGTCCAGATACCTTTGAAGTCCAACCTGATCCTCATCCAACTGAATTCTCCAAATTAGCTGTCTGTGTGTGTGTGTGAGGAGGGAGGCTTAGGCTTACAGACACACACACACAACTTCTCTTTCCTCTCTCCTTTTTTTCTCTAATAGACCAAAAATTTGTTGCTTTACCTGCCAGGTATATTCATATATTATAATTTTAGTTGAATATTTAGACAAAATTACTGTATGGGAAATTAGCTTCTTTATTTGTATATGTTTTCAAAATACAAAAAAAAGAAAAAACAAGTTTAATGAAAATATGAAAGAAGTGTTGCTTACTGTAACACACTGTATCAAGTGCTAGGCTACAGTAATTGTAAATTATGATTTTTGATTAGTTGTGTTCATTCTTACAAAATAGTAACAAGGCATTATGCATCACCTATATATACCTCTATCACTGAAATATCCTATGTTATTTTTGTCTCCATACGATGTTAAATTTATGCAAGTCCATGTTTCTTAAGTGCTGGTGAATTTTGAGTTTGATATTAACCCTTAAACTGTCCAAACGTAGATCTACGTTCACGTGCGTAGCGCATTGACCTTTATTTTCTCCATTTGAAAGCATGTAAAAAAAAAAAAGAGTAGATCTACATTCAGAGCGCTACACATGTAAACATAGATCTACGTTTGGACAGTTTAAGGGTTAAAGGTTGGAACTTTCTGAATATTGTAACTTAGAAAACAGTGTTTGTTCATGACTGTAATAATGTACCCGGCTTCATACCCACAACTTTATCTTTAAAAGTTTACCAAAAATGTGTTTCACAGTATACCAGATGACTCTTCTAGTTGCTATCTCCTTATTAGTAAACAATTGAGGATATATCAGGAGCTCGGCCCCAAGATCACACTCTACCTGTAGAAAACTTAGAACTCGTCAAAGGTATATCAGAGGTATATATTGAGAGATTCTGGGAGGCAGTCATATTACCGTGACCAGTGTTTGGTGATACAACACAGTTTGGAGATTCTGGGAGACCGAGTCATTACTGTGACCAGTGTTTGGTGATACAACACAGTTTGGAGATTCTGGGAGGCCGAGTCATTACCGTGACCAGTGTTTGGTGATACAACACAGTTTTCCGCTGTTCTAACTCTCAAGTCAGGAGACGGTATTCTTCTATATGTAAGTTAAGTGGTGGTGATATTCAGAGGATAATTCCCTTTTAATTTAATTACTATATTCACTAGGCTGCCACCTCATTAATTACAAGCTTATGTAATGTATTATATATATATAGCCTCATGCTAGGCCTAAGGCTGTGGGCCAGTATGAAATTTAATTCTGTGTGATCTTTTCCTCTTTGGTGATAATATTGATATTATTTATTTAGAATAAACACGTCATTAAACATAATTATCGACTAAGTTATGCTTTTGTTTTGTATTAATATTGATGATTAAGTAACGAGATACGTTGTAACAGACAAACATTGAGTGAGTTTAAGAATCTTGTGTTTGTTACACAGCTAATTCAGGTAACTAACACATTGTAATATATTCTCTTTGTAATAATAATACATTATATATATATATACACACACACAAATAAGTAATTACATACATACACAAAAATATATATATACATATATTAATTATAGTAATGTATTAATACCAAGTGCCCATAATAAAGAGAATATCAACCCACGTTATTTTCATTTATTTCAATTTGTGTTGATTCTAACGTTGAAATTTGAGTTGAATTGTTGAAGTAACTCAACTCTTAAAAATTCTGATATATAAACAAATCTCTAACATGTGAGGAGAGAGAGTTTTAGTGTTCAGAAATTATACCACAAAATTCCCAACGATGCAGTGTATGACCCTGGTGGGTTTGGCACTTGCTTATTGTAATAATAATGTTTTTTTTAGCTATGTATTACCTTTTCAGGCTTACCCCATAATATTATTAATAGTAGTAATGAATACAAAACATTTCTGCATATCATCCTATGGGTTTAGTGTTCCCCCATGATCATAATAATAATAATTTGTGTGTATCTTCAACTACAAACTGTTCCGCATTGAGAACTTTATCCAAAATTTGCACTGTGAAGGCCTTTAAATTTGCTGTTTAATTTTATATGTGCCTTTTTCACATTTATAAGAAATTGAGCTTTATAAGAGAGCCAACTTTACTCCCTTAGTGCTTAAAATACAGCCTCTCCTCACTTAACAACGGAGTTCCGTTCCTAAGACCACATCGGTAAACGAATTCGTCACTAAGTGAGGAGCATACTATAATGGTAGTGGGTTTGTGTCAACCATCTTTGATATTGTTTTAATGTCACCTTTGTACCATTTGTAACATTCCTGGTATATTTTTAAATATTTATACAGTAGTGTACTGTATATTGTAATAAACAGAATAGAGGAAATCAGCTCTAATATACATTATTTAGGTATGCAGACTAGTCAAAGAGCCTGTTGTAAGTCCGAGGCGTCGGTAAACGAGTACGTTGCTAAGTGAGGAGAGGCATTTACTAGCGACTCAGAGTGAGAAAGTCATAGTGGGTTACGAGTCGTTTAGCTAAAGTCATAAGGGTGATATTTGCCACTTAACTAAATAAAAAGGCTTAATACTGTGACTGGAACAATACATGATGACGTTAAAGGTCCCACTTGTACCATTACCTGTTCAGACTCCGAAAATCAATATTGCTCCCAATGTCCACTTTTTTTTTTTTTTAATGTCTTCTGAAAGGGTAGACAATCTTTTTCTAAAGATAATGACACCAAAAGTACAAATTTGGTGGAAAACTCATGGAATTACACAGGCACAAAGTTTGCATTCTCGGTACAATTTACATATCGGTGATTTTGCCCACTTTGAGTTAGTCCTATTTTAAGCCAATTCTATTGTTCCATTTGACCAAACTTTTATCTGTTTTGCTAGTATGTGTTCCATTCAATCGAATGAGCACAAGAAGCTACCCATTCAACTATTTCAATTATGTGTAGTGATCATAATTTGCTAATTTAGCCAATTTTTGCACAAAATTAAAAAAAATACAAATTTAAAAAATAAGAGTCCATAATAAACAATGTAAACATTCCTGACAATAAAACAATACGCCTTCTCTCCCCAGAACTCTCGTATATTACTTGCCAAACCATACCACGGGCGGGATTGAACCCACGGTCACAGTGGTGCCTATGCTAACCTTCCTATGGTGTAGAAATATACCTAGTTGGATGAATCTTATTGTGGCTAGCTGGTCCAGTGGCTAACGCGACAGTCTGGAGTTTTGAGACTCTCTGACCGCTGGTTCAAATCCCGCCCGTGGTATGGTTTGTTTGCAATCGTGTCATTATGATTTCGTGAGTCATTACTTGCCATTTTGAATTCTTATTCGCACAAAAATATAAAATTTACTCTTTCTTGGATAATATAGCCAGGAAAGAATGTTCATGGTTTACAGCATCCCAATAATTGAATCAGACCTATTAAAAACCCATAAAGCAGACTGGGGGGTGGAGAGGAAGGGGCCTTACCTGTCCTCTGAAATATCGTCAGAAACCGAATACAGCCTCTTCTCACTTAGTGACGTACTCATTTACTGATGACTGACTTACGACAGGCTCTGTGACCAGTATGCATACCTAAATAATGTATATTAGAGCTGATTTCCTCTGTTCTGTTTAATACTATATAGTATACTACTGTATTAACATTTAAAAGTATACCAGAAACGTTATAAATGGTGCATAGGTGCATAGGCCCGGTGGCCTGGTGGCTAAAGCTCCCGCTTCACACACGGAGGGCCCGGGTTCGATTCCCGGCGGGTGGAAACATTTCGACACTTTTCCTTACACCTGTTGTCCTGTTCACCTAGCAGCAAATAGGTACCTGGGTGTTAGTCGACTGGTGTGGGTTGCATCCTGGGGGACAAGATTAAGGACCCCAATGGAAATAAGTTAGACAGTCCTCGATGACGCACTGACTTTCTTGGGTTATCCTGGGTGGCTAACCCTCCGGGGTTAAAAATCCGAACGAAATCTTATCTTATCTTATCTTATTAAAACAATATCAAAGATGGTCGACATAAACCCACTACCATTAAAGTATGCTTCTCACTTAGCGACAAACTCGTTGACCGACGTAGTGTTAGGAACGTAACTCCATTGTTAAGTGAGGAGAGGCTGTATTTTCACTATGACCTCAATTTCAAGCTACTTCCAGTCATAAAACCAATCAAAATCATCTCTATTTCAGTAATATGGTTTTCATTCTATCAAATATTACCAAAAAACATCCAATAAAATCATCCTAGAGAACACTGCAACTTCTCTATTTTAAATCAAACAAAATCAGTTTTTTACCCCAGCATGCACTCATATTTAGGCCCAAATTTTCCACTCACAGCTTATCTGAGTCACCTGGTCTCAGTGACAGTTCTGTGTGAGGGACTCTGACCTCAGTGACAGTTCTGTGTGAGGGACTCTGACCTCAGTGACAGTTCTGTGTGAGGGACTCTGACCTCAGTGACAGTTCTGTGTGAGGGACTCTGACCTCAGTGACAGTTCTGTGTGAGGGACTCTGACCTCAGTGACAGTTCTGTGTGAGGGACTCTGACCTCAGTGACAGTTCTGTGTGAGGGACTCTGACCTCAGTGACAGTTCTGTGTGAGGGACTCTGACCTCAGTGACAGTTCTGTGTGAGGGACTCTGACCTCAGTGACAGTTCTGTGTGAGGGACTCTGACCTCAGTGACAGTTCTGTGTGAGGGACTCTGACCTCAGTGACAGTTCTGTGTGAGGGACTCTGACCTCAGTGACAGTTCTGTGTGAGGGACTCTGACCTCAGTGACAGTTCTGTGTGAGGGACTCTGACCTCAGTGACAGTTCTGTGTGAGGGACTCTGACCTCAGTGACAGTTCTGTGTGAGGGACTCTGACCTCAGTGACAGTTCTGTGTGAGGGACTCTGACCTCAGTGACAGTTCTGTGTGAGGGACTCTGACCTCAGTGACAGTTCTGTGTGAGGGACTCTGACCTCAGTGACAGTTCTGTGTGAGGGACTCTGACCTCAGTGACAGTTCTGTGTGAGGGACTCTGACCTCAGTGACAGTTCTGTGTGAGGGACTCTGACCTCAGTGACAGTTCTGTGTGAGGGACTCTGACCTCAGTGACAGTTCTGTGTGAGGGACTCTGACCTCAGTGACAGTTCTGTGTGAGGGACTCTGACCTCAGTGACAGTTCTATGTGAGGGACTCTGACCTCAGTGACAGTTCTATGTGAGGGACACTCACAGTGTTAATGGTTCAAGTTGGACTGTACTGTCATCATAAGTTTCAAGTATCCTATGTGTGGGATGCGTATTACCATACTAATACATACAGGAGGATTCGAACCTACTACAGGGAGACTGGCATGGTTCCCAAGTGACACTAGACCACTCAGCCACAAATACCTCATAAATTGAAACCATGCTTGAGGCTTACTAGTGTGCCCGGGCTGGGAAGAAACATGGCTTGTAAACCAAGCTTCCCAGCTTTTGAGGCATTTATGGCTGAATGGTCTAGAGTGTTACTTGTGGAACCATTCCAGTCTTCCTGTAGTAGGTTTAAATCCTGCTGACTGCAATCTTTCTCTGTACATACCAGCTTGTTTATGTGTGGTGCACTGGTTCTTGTTATATAGTACAGTGAACTTCATAGGGAAAGAGGGGCTACTTGATGCTGGTGGAGGGCTTCTGATCGATGGGATTGGAGCTAAACCCTTTCCCTAACTTGCAGCTCTGTGTGATCCTTTCGGGTTGAACACCTAACTTGATGATTGATAATAATAATTTCAAAATGTTTGAGAAGAGTTATTGTTTCTCCATGAAATTAAAAATTAGAATAATTCTGTCGTATTATCATTAGGAGTTTCATAGGGCAAAGTCTAAACCTGAAAGTGTCATGACAGTGCTGCTAATTGAATTTAAGCTTCTTCAAGGTGGTTGGACTCCTTGCTGTGGCCAATTAGCTCTTGGTCCAAGGAACTGAACCTTTCAGTCTTCTTCCTTTGACCAAATATAATTACCTCCCACCCCTCCCTTCACTGCCCCATCTTTCCCATCTCACCTTTCCCCATCACTCCCCCTCAAATTCCTTTCCTGCTTTTGGCTTTTGGGGTCCTCTTCCCAAACCTAATTACCCCCAAATCCTCTCTTTCCATGTCCCATCCCATCCCTTTCCTGTTTTCAGCCTTTTGGTTCCTTTCCTCAGGCATTCTAGTTCCTAGGTTGGCGGAAAGGGTACTGTGGTCCATCCCATTCTGTTGAGGTCCTTGGTGGTGGTGTAGTTTGCCATGGAATCTGGATTGTTTGGAGATCCTGATCCCTCTCTGGTCTACCATGGGAGGCTTTGGGTGTTTTTCAGATGATGGGTGTATCTCTGGAGGCTGCCTGTCGAATTCCAGATGGTGGTGGCCAAAAAAGGTATGCATTGTGGTGGGTGTCCAACCATCCTCTCTCTTGTCCGCTGAGGTGGCTCAGTAAGTGTAAGGTTGCTATCCCAGATTGTTGGTTTACTGGCATGAAGGGTAGCGTATGGTACTGGTTCCATGCTGTATCTGCACTGCTGGCTGTGCTGAGGTCCTTTCATTTCTCCTAGGAGCTAACCCTTCCTGTTCACTCCTTTTTTCTTTTCTTTTTTCTAAAAA